GTCCGTGGACCATTTGTTTGTGTATTCGCCTGGTACTGATCAGAGAAATCACGGAAAACTACCGATCAGAGCAACCGGCAGATAGAATTCTCTTCCAGATAGCGGCTGAATTCGACCTAACTATCTAACTAGAGTAAAAAATTCGACACCGTTAGAGTTCAAGCCTTAGGATCTCCCGGTCAGAATGGCTACAAAGACAACGGTTATTCTGGCTCCAACTCAGCCGGTAAATTACGACTTCAAAAATGTGCATTTCAAGGGTAGGGAAGAGTGACAAACAACATCAGAGACAGAAAGAGAGCGACAGACAGACAGAAATACGGGGACAGGCCGAAAGAGACAGGAAAAAGGAGTCAGGCAGAGCGAGAGAGGCAGAACGAGACATGCAAAGCGACAGGCAGGGAGAGAGAGACAGAACGAGAGACAGACCGAGAGAGTGACAGACCGAACGAGTGACAGACCGAGAGCGTGACAGATTGAACGAGTAGAGACCAGGGAATTTTGTCCTGTATAATGCGTTTGCTTCATCATTTTTGTTTTTACGAGAATTTACTGGCGAGCGACTAATTGCCGAGGGTTTAGTGTTAGTTTAACGCGCAATTAATGCGGATGAATATTATCGCGAGTTGGTGTATCTTTTCATGATGGAAAGCCTCGGTTGTTAGCCGTGTGGTTATCCTGACAGTTAACACAAACGAGGTGCACCTTTACTGATTTTAGAATCTTACTTCTACCACGGCATCTAACACATATGAATTCTAATTAACATTGTGCGTATGTATGCTCTATTGTTCGGTACTTTCAAAATTGTAAGATTTGAGCATGGATTTTTACAATTAGGTGATCGAAACATTTTAGCTGTATTATATTTCTAGAACTTATTTAGTCTTTTATTTCCACCGCGCACAAGATGATAGACATTTTGTCATTGTTATAAAATAGATCAATATTGTTATATTATGTTTTTGTTAGTTAGATTTGATTTGATTTATTCAGTCAAAGGGCGGTAAAAAATATATGTGGCGTATGGGTGAGAAATGTATGCGACGTATGAGACGTATGGGCCTTTTCAAGAAGGTATTTGAAAGGTTTCCTCTTTCGAATATAATATGGGAAAAACTTTGGATAGCTTTCATAAGGACACCAAAAAGATCCCTGGATAAAAGAAATTGTATTATGAGAATTCTGATGTGTGGGGTTGAAATTATTGCATCCACGAATGAAATTCAGTTATTTTTTCTTGAAGAATTTTTCGAAATACCGATTACCCATTTCCACTCAATGTATTTTATCAACATCATTTTCTAATCACGTGATGAATATAACCGTTCTCACTTTCTCGCACTTACAAACGTAAGAAGAGAAAGTATTGTAAAACGGCAAATTTTCGACACAACAACTCTTATTGCGGGGTCCTGTTAAGAAAAAAGAGGATAAACTCGTTGCTTAATATAGAAAAAAATCCTGTATCACGTGGTGTAGCCACAAATCATGTTTTGTGGGTCATTGATACAAAAAAATCGATTGACGGAAAAACGTCTGTCTGTCTGTCCGTCCGGATGTGAACAACGCTAGCGCATAAACCGTCTAGCCGATTTTCTCAAAAATTGATATTCCCCCATCGTCCGAGCTGATGTCGCGGACCCAGAACTTGAAACCGAACCTTTAATATTTGGGGGTACTTTACAAGAAGTCCCTGGAACATTTTCACAATTTTCAAAAATGTGGAAAACAAAATTAAAACTTCAAATTTGGAGGAAGAAAGTTTTTTTGCCTGTTGTACAAAATTATTTCCTCCAAGAAGGTCATGTACAATTTTTTGAAAAAGGAGTAGTTTTGCGTATTTTTACAACAATATTCTCAAAAACCGCTCCAATTTTTGTCTTTAAATTTTCTTCCTTCATGTATAAGAGACAATAAAAATATGGCGATAGTCATATTTTTGGGTATTGCTAGTTTTTTTGTAAATTTAGAAAAAATTATATTTTAAAACTACAAAATCGAAGATAGAGATTTTTGTCTCAAAGTCTGTTGTACATTTTTTCTCAAAATCCACTTCAAATGTTTTCTTTAAATTTGCTCCACATATGTAATAAGAAACTGTAAGAAATATAGCCTAGTCTCATACAAGGATATTACTCTTTTTTTTCGAAAATTGCAATAAAATGCAATACTACAAAATTGAAGATAGAGATTTCTGCTTCAGCCAAAGTTTGTTTAACAAAATTAGCTCTTTAATAAAGGTCAAGTAAATGTTTTGAAAAATCTAGTAGTTTTTTGTGTTATTTCTGGTAGAAATTAATGAAATATATACAGGTTTCATACCAACTACTGGCCACGAAGAAAATTAAATGTATGATATGAATAATAATTCCAGAAGTAATATACAGGTGATTAATTTGGAATATTTTTTTAATTTGTGCGTTTCTTTCGGGGCCTAGAGACCATTCTAATTTCTATGATTTATCTTGGATACGCGCGCGGTTTGCGTTATGTTGTTTTCGACAATTTTGTTCGAATATTTAATTATTTTTGTATTTAAAGAATGTAAAGCTGCAGGACCATAAAAATATTTGTCAGATAATACGTTTTTATGAACAGTAAAGTGATTAACATTCACATTTTTAAAAAAATTAATTGTTTGAAGCGATGAGAAAATATATTTGTATAAGGTAATGAATAATGCATTCAAAATGGGTTATATTGGGTGGCATTTATTTCTAGATGTTCCATTTATTTGTGAAACTATCCTTGCTTGTCTTTATAATGTGCTGGAAGTAAAAAAATTGTTTATAATATTTTTCGTTCGTTTACTATTTCATTTTTTAAAACCTTACGTAATAACTTGGCAGAAAAGATGAAACGTTGAAAAAAATGTATACTGTATTCGAAACAAGCAATAGTGTTCCAAAAGAACGCTTTAGAATAACTTTCAGAAAACTACAACATGTAAACTGAAAAACAGTTCTAGCTATGGCACAAATGGTGCTTTTGGCAATAATTGATAAGAAAATATGTACCCATTGTTAGCAGCGCCCATCGCTGCATGTGCGCTTTGTTGTCAGCGCTCATTGACTGAGATATGATGATATAGACAGAAAGGTGATCTATTATTACATAACCTGTACTAAGCGACGAGAAAGTATGGGCTGTTTCAGCACCACTAGTTTAATGTCTTGTTAGAACAGAAGAAAGTGTTCTTCACCTTGCACCGCATCTGAAATTGATTTTTTTCCGCCGTCCAAATGCATCTGAATCTAGTACACTGTTATCTGCGATCTCCGTATTGTCTAGCGCGGCGTATTATCCGTAGGAACAATATACAAATAAGCAGGGATTTCATCTTCAAACCTTTTTAATCTTTAATTGGTTTACCAGTTGAATCTGTAGAATTAAATATTGTCCCTAAGCTGCAATCTTTCATCTGCCAGCTGTGATCTGTTGAGTTTGGGTACACGCACTTTAGTTTTTTCTAGGTACCTGCTCGCCCCGTATCTCGTATCTCATTTATTGTTGGGAGACTATTTTTTATGGCTTTAGTTTCTGTTGCACTAGAAAATACGAGATTGTTGTTGCATTAATTGCTGTTTCACAAATTGAGTGAGTTGCATTAAATTTTGGTTCTGCATTATTTGATGTTATATCTTGTTGAAATTTCTCAGCTTACTGTGCAGCGCATATTGCCTGCTTCGTGAACAATGCTTTGCCTTGTAAAGCTACATGAACGTTGATTACTTCACGTTGCATCATTTCGCTTGAATCACCACTCGATACATTTAGAACTTCTGTGGAATTGGCAATAAGCCACTCGCAAACATTTTCACACCAAAGGGCACCGAATATAGCTAAAATTGTATTTGTGACGTACAGCAGCTATATTGATAGTTTAGCGAGAAATATATAGAGTTAAAATTACACTCAATTGTGTGCAATGATTTCGTAATGTGTATTTGTCCTAATATAAAGAGGGTGGAATCTCATAAATATTTGGGAATATACATAGACTGTAATCTGAAATGGATATACCATGTATTTCAAATTACTAACAAATTAAGATATTTGATTTATATCTATAAATTGCGACTTGATTTTGATGGGAAATAGTTGATTATGATATACTACGCATTGTTTTGGGCAATTTTTACATACAGAATAATGACGTGGAGAGGCGCCAATGATACTACTCTGAATCCATTGCAGAATGTTCAGAAGAGAATCCTTTAGATGTTCTTCAGGAAAAATATATTATATTAATCTGATGAGCTTTTTAAAAACCATAAAATGTTATCAATTAGGAAATTATTTTTGTACAATTCCCTTCTGAATAATCTTTCAGTTCGTAGGCAAAAATAGTATTATTTGCATGATAAGAGTGGCACTGACTGTACCACCCACTGTTAAAAACGAAATCGGTAGAAGAAATTATGTTTATGTTCAGAGTATTTGACTAACTGAATGATGAAATCAAAATTATGAACCATATCAAGAATAGTCCTTAAGTTAATTTATATCACTTATTCTGTCATTATTATATTTCATTATTGTATTCCATTTATAAAAATTTTTGTTTTTACTTAATTTTATTGAATATATAATAAGCACGTAAAGTATTTTGTGATTTGTAATGTCTGTATGTGTTATAACAGGCCGGGCACTGGATGTATTTTCTCAGCGGATAATTGTAAAATTATTTGTATATAAGCTTGTTTAATAAATTGAAATTATTATAAATTACTTATAATATTTGCTTACTTTCTTCTTTGAACTGCCACCGTTGATGGAAAAAATGTTTTTAAAAATGTCTGGCTAATGTTGAAAACTAAATATTAAAACGACTGAGTTTCACGTACCTTTTATTCCTATTGCGAATAATCGTCATCAGTGCATAAAGAGTGTAGTGTTGAACCAGAGTATTGAACAATGAAAACCTAAATCAATGTATAGGTAGTAGTGAGTAAAGAGGGTAAAAGTGAAGTTATTTGGTAACGTGATCTGTGGGAATGCCCTGTCTCTCCCTTGTCGCCGAGGGCATCGGGTGCGCGCGGCCGCGCGGCCGCGTGGGCGGCTGGGGCGGGGGTGCTGAAGAGCGGGGCCGGCGCGCGCCCACTCGCCGCTGCGCCAGCCGCCCTCTCGGCGCGGAGCGCAGGCCGCAATTCGGCGCTCTCCGGCGACCCCGATCCCGCGGCGCCGCCCCAACCACCCCTGTTGTCGCGATTCCGGCCACTGCCGCGCCGCATTATGTGACACTAAACAACTGCGCCGAATGGAGGATGAGAGGGCGCGCGTGCGGGGAGCTGGCATCGAGCAGGCGGCCGGTGTGAGGAGACGGAGGCGCGGCGCTGGGGTGGGAGCGACCGCCGGCGAGGCTGAGCGGGGCGGGGGCGGGGGCGGGGCGGGGGCGGGGGCGGGTGGCAACGGGCGACTGCGCTGGCGGGCAGCGACGCCGCTTCCGCTGCTGGCTGCTCTGCTGGACTTCCAATCCGCCGTCTTTCGCACTTTCTTCGTTTCCACACATACCCGCTGAAATTCAATTGAACACTGCATGTTGTAATGGGAAAATTATTTACCGCAGAGTAATAATAAGAACGTTTGAAAGAAATTGGGCGAGAAACGCATGCCTGAAACGTTCTAAAAGTGGATATCCCCTTCAAGAGAGATGAATAAAAAGCACATGAAAGCGGCAGCCCACGAGTCGCCTTCACAATGACTCCTCGCTTATTGTCCTAAACGGGTTCCGACAGGAGTAATCTAACAGAATTGCAGCTCGTTATTGTAAAATGACAGTGCGACTACGTCCTCCTTAATTACGCAAACGATTCGCGACTTCGCTACTGTGTTGCTTATTTAGGGACACACTCACATGTAAGGCACACAATTTAAACTTCTGAATTAATGAAAAATATGCAGTAAAAATCATCCAGTAATTGAAATAAAATTTATTAATTTCATTTATGCATATTCAAGAAATGTTTGAATCTTTTTGTCGCTTCATCAATTCTTTCGTGCTTCACAATGTTAATTGAAATGCTTTTACGTTCCTAATTATTATTTATTTGAAATTTTTGAGGAATGAAGTTACATGTATCCATTATCAGAATCAATTTTTTTCCTCGCCAACACATCAGTGCTCTCTTGATGAGTGTAAAACCATAATAGTAATTCTATTAATTTATAATTTGTTTCCTTAAAACACATCTTTTTAGAGCATTGCTGTTCATCTGAAGCAGGTCACGCGCTTATTACATTCTCGCCATATTACATTCGTTGCAAAGAAAATATATTGTAATACTTCTCTTCTTTTATTGTCATACACCGATTAGTGAGTAGGCTAGTCTCCAGAAGCCCCTAGCGCCTTCTGGTGAGACACCCTGAGCAAATAGTTGGCCATTGCTTTCTCTAGAAGAGCTAGTGCACCAATTTTGACGTTTGATTTGAATACCAGATAGCGCAGATCAAGATACGACATCCCCAATCTTATGCAGTAATTCAAATCGAAACTCTGATTGCTGAAGTATTTAATTTTGCTAGGATCGGCCAAGTGCCTTTCTTGGGATGTTTTACATTCCGACAAGCGTCCGCGGGATGTCGTCGATTTTTGACACCTAAAAAAAACAAAAAAACTCGTATTGCTGAACCTGCTAACGAAAAAGTGAACAAATCTCATTCCTATAAGTAGTTAATTACTTTCTCGAACATGTTGTGTTGACTGAATCTACGTTTTGTGGGTGTTTGTTACCGAAAAATCAAATGGGAGCAATGGTCTATCCGTCTGAGATCTACGCTAGTGCCCAAACCGTTGAGATCATTCTCCCAATCGATCTGAAGCAACTCAAGGCACTGCGGGTATGAAACGGATTCTTGGATGTTGGGAGATACTTGACATACATCCTCAACATTTTCAAAATTTCCTGCAAAATGGCTTCAAATTCTTTTGTTAAAACTTTGTCCTCAGAAAGTAATAGAAGCTTTAAAAATAGAAAAGAACTCATTTTCATTGAAATCAAAGATTATATTTTCGAAAGTTGCAGAAGTTTGTTTCACCGGTTTCCTAGATATATACAAAATAAAAGATAAATTTTTACCTTAATAAAATCAGATTTTCAAAGACAGACGTTGAAACATCATTTTTGGGCGTATAGGGCTACAATTTTTCGAAAATATCAGTTGTTTTCGAGTAACTTTGCGTGAAATATAGGCAATTTTTAGCCAATTATTTCCTCAAAAAACGGCACAAAATTTGTTCCATTTTTTTAATTTTTTTCATCGTATGTATCAAAGGCCTGTAAAAATGACGTAGCTCCAACTTTCGGTAAACTCTCTGTATTTTTGAAAATTTCGAAAACTAGCAATATAACAGTACAGCATTAAAAATATTTTGTCTGAAATGAAATCAGTTCTAAAAAATCAGATCTTTAAGAATGTCATGTTTTAAAAAACGCACAGTTTTCATAATTTATGCTTGAAGTTATTGCAGTTCATTAAAAAACTTGTGGTGTTGAAACTGCACATACCTTCTCGCATTACTTCCAACTATTGATATTTTTGAAAATTAAGAGAGTTCAGCAAATTATCAGAGTCATTCTTTTAAGCATTCTTTTTTCAATTCGTGGAAAAAGAATTGAAGAAAAATTTTGAAGCGGTTTTTGAGAAAATGGTCTTTTATAAATTGCATTAACTTCAGGCCGTTATTACGCAAAAATTACACATTTTTTTCCAAAATTGTACATGATATTTTTTAAAGAGTTGATGTTTTAGAATAGATTTGTTTAAGAGAAAATTTTCTATCTTCATTTGTAGAATGTTAACACATTACAATATTTTGTAATTTTCGAAAACATTTGCAAAAGTGCAATAATAATGACACATATTTTTCTCTTAAAGAACATCTGTTTTTAAAAAACTGCGTTTAAAAAAAATTATGTGTAATTATTTGAAAGAACAAGTAGTTTCCACGTAATTTTTGCTATTTCCTGAAGAACGCCAGTCCACCCTCAAAAGTCTAAATGTAACCACACCTAATTAAAAAACAACTGAACTATTTTCAATGAAATTTTAAATCGTTCCCTAATCTTTGTCTCAAATATGATTACGTCATCATCAACAATTAATCATGGATTTGAAAAATTCAGAAATGTCATTCATCATTCTTTAAACATTGCTGAAGTACCTGCGCACGTTTTTAAATCACAAACCGCCCATTCCAAAGAAATTCTTGTCGAAAAACCAGTGATGCTACCAAAGCACATATTTTCTCGCATGATTTGTAAATGCTCCGCAATATTATACTACTACATTAACCTGCAATTTTTTTGGGGGGTTCCTCCAAAACCAGAACTAAACCTCAGTTAATTTGCCGACACTCTTACCACTACTCCACACAAGCGCCGCTTGGGTAGAACTCGAGCAGAGACCTAAAGAAGTAAATGCACGTATTTTGTAAAAAAGACTCTCAACAATCAAATCATAAGCTAGAAATTCCCAAAGCCTCCAGTCAGTTCAGATCGATCAAGCTATATCAATTTTTAAGAAAATCGGCTGAACGATTTAGGCGCTAGGGTTGACCATAGAATACCGCAGAGACAACGAATATTGCCACTAAATCATCGCAGATAATGGCAATGGTAGCGGTAAGCTACGCGTTATAGATAGAAAAAGCCAAGCTGTGTGGCGTGCTACAGGGAGTTATTCTGTAAATATTTTCTTAATTCTGAGATCCCTACCCTAAACATGTACACGTGGAATATTGAATACACAAAGAAATGAGCGATTTTGGTTAGAATTGTTAACAGAATATTCGCTCCGATGTAATAAAATATATTTTCAAAGGCAAATCAGCTATAGATTTGGGTTCTTATCGCTCATCATGTTCTTTGTGAAGGATTATACTTCTACTGAGCCGCCAAAACATGGATAACAAAATTTTGAATAACTATATTTCCCACTAAACTCTAGAAGACGTGCACAGATAATGAAGTTACATTTATGTCCAGAAGCAGAACAAGGGACCATCTCAGCATTTGTTCGAAGGATCAGGGAAACTGGATGCATGACCTGATCGAGATGGGGGCATTGACTCAGCAGCTCACGTACAATAGAATTATGTAGTCCAAATGGTAAATAATACATTGAATATCATTGTTAAAATTAATATTGATTTCCTTTTTGCTGATCGGTGTAGTCTGTAGTTGTATAGAAATAATTATGCATAAATATTTTTCAGAGAAAATATTTTACTTGGGACTTTAACTTTTGTATAGATTTTAATGTCATCTGGCAAAGTATCGTAAAACTTCCCGGCCACTATTAAATGCATTCAGAGAAATGGGAACCCCGCATCCCTAAGGAAACAAGCAATTCTTTTAACACGATTATGGAAAACTTTAACGGATTTGTTGAAACCATCGGGAATACGAAACGAGTTTCCCTAAGATTAAGTGCTGCTTAAATGAAGTTTCAAACATTGGTTCAAAGTTATTAAACCCAAATTCTCTCGGCTCGATATCCAGAGGTACGATTTGTAAATTTCTTGGCCTAAAGCATATTTTACAGTAAGCGAAAAGAAATAATTTACGAAAATATTGCTGATTAAAAATTTAAGGTGGATATGAATAAAAGCCAAAAAAAATTATGCATCAACGATTATCCGTTCATTATATATTACTAATTTATTACAAATCATTTATTATTAATAAATCATTTCTAATAATTTGTTACTAACAATTGTGAATAAAATCTAGGTATCTAATTTTGCTCTAAATCTAATTTACTTGGTTTAGTGTCTATTAACGCCCAGTACTCAGTATCGTGTTGTTTAGTAAGCCTCTTTTTGAAATTTTTTTCATTCAAAATTCAATGGAACATATTTGTTGCCAGTTGAGCAAGCTCTGTTCTTCGAAAAGTGCCCCAGCAGTGTGGGGACCGGGGCCGTGGCGCGGTCGGATGGCTCCGCGCGTGGGTTTCAACCCTCGTCCCCGGCCCCCACCCCCGTCCC